AGTCCTCTATACAGAGCCAAAGTTTGTGTAGGCCTGGAAGTGAAGCCAAGGGATCAAAATAATAGTTATTATTTATTCAGTATTTTCCATGCCATGTAGTGCTAAGTATTTTACAGATAGCTTGTCAGTTATATATTTTTCACTTTAACCTGACAATGTAGTTATTATCACCTTCATTTTTTAAATAAAGGAAGCAAGACTTAGAGAGGTAAAATAATGTCAGGATGATACAGTCAGGATTTGAATTCCGAAGTCTTTGACTTTACTGTCCACACTCTTCAATTTACTCATAGACTAAAAACCCAGAAAATTCTTTCCTGGCAATTGTGTACTTGCTCCCACAGGCAGCTCGTCAACTTGCTTGTTTTGCTCCAGGAATTTAGAAGAGTGGTTCTCAACTACAATGTTAAGATACATTAGTCAGTCTATGTGCTGGTGAAGTGTATAAGTAATTTGTTACCGACCATTAATGGTAAAAGTTGCCAGTGATATCCTAGTTCTTGAAACTATAGTAATTATCCCTATAATGCATCTCACACTTGCCTTCAGATAGAGTTTTTTAAATGAAAGGAATAGCAGGGCATGTAGAAAACTGATTACACTTCTGTGTGCTCCCATGAGGATGGTGGCACTTATGAATATGTTGTGTGTGTTGACAACAGATGCATCAACCAGTAGAGCGGTAAGATTCTATTTTTAAATAAATCATGATTGGGTTACCAGCTACCATAAGGAAGTTTATCACTCATGATTTTATTTGTTGTTAGTGCCATTGAGTTGATTCTGACTCCTAGCAACCCTGTGTAGAGCCAAGTGGAACCCTAGCCAGCCTTTTTGCACCATCCTCTCATCTTCCAGTGCTGTATCAGACAGTGCTCCGCTGCTATTCATAGGGTTTTCACAGCAGTTTTTTCAGAAGTGGGTGGCTAGGTCCTTCTTCCTAAGCTGTCTTAGTCTGGACGCTCCACTGACACCTATCCACCATAGTGACTCCGCTGGCATTTGAAATACTGGCGGCATAGCTTCCAGCATCACAGCAACATGCAGCTGCCACAGTGTGACAACCAACAGACAGGTGGGTGGTTCCCTGACTAGGAAATGAACCCTGGGCTGTGGCGGTGAGGGTGCTGAATCTTAACCACTAGATCACCAGGGCTTGTTCATGATTTTATGTCTGATATAACAAAAGATCTTTATACTGGATATATCTCAAGAGGGTTTGAGGACAATTGGAATAAGAAATATATGCATTGAAATCCCTCTGAACTTCCTTGGAAATTCCTATATCCTGGGAATAAAGATTTGATAGAAGAAATTGAAGGTTTTTGATATGTGTTTTCAGGTTGATTGCAGTGGGTTTAAAAAGTTACCGCCAGGAGAAGAGAGAATGTGTTATCTACTATATGCCCCAATTTGTGGTTCTGATGGCCACACTTATGGCAATGATTGTGTCTTTTGTTCTGAAGTTGTGTAAGTATTGAAGTATTGAAATATTTTTCTTTTCTATATTTAAAGTGTAAAAATTAATGTGTTAAGACAAATGTACCTCAATTAGAAGAAGTAGTTTAGGGCATAAGGAGTATAGGAATCATCTCCCATTGACTCTAATGAATAGAATTCTCACAATTTATAAGATTTGGGAGTCCCTAGTGTCACTGTATCCCTACATGTTCTGGCAGTAATAGTGAATCAGAGAATCCTAGAATCTCTAAGTTGGAAGGAAACTTAAGGGTCATCTAGTGCAACTTCTACTTACTAATCTATTGCTTACACTCCCTTGACAAAAAAGTCACCAAGTCACTTCACAGTCTATGCATGTTTATTTCCAGAGATAAGGAACATCCCTCCTCATAGGCAGGCCAGTCCACGTCCGTTAGAATGAGCCGTGTTCATTGTTCAGCTTCAACAACTACGTTTGGAAATCTTAGAGCCCCCTAACGATTGGTATAAAAGGGGACTATATCTGAACAACCTCAAGAACTTGTTCTGTTTCAGAATATTATTTCTCAACACAATAGATGTTGGAGCTATAACAAAAATTAAATTTGGAAAATCAAATAGCCAAAAGTAGTTTAAAGGTTACAAAGTAATCATCTGCAAGTTATAGTAGCATCAGCTCAAAAAATATTAAATGATGACTGATGTACCAGAATACACAGAAACATACAGTTCCTTTTAAGTATTTACAAAACACACATGAATGAAAACAAGCATCTAGTATATACGGCATATTGTTCTGGTTCTTGTTTAATAAGAAAAAAATTACAATCTTTTCTGAAAACAGGCTTCTAAATGTGTGTCTCCTTTAAATAAAAAAATTCCGTGAAAATATGTTCTCAGGCATATAAACTGTGATATATTTTGAGCATCATACTTATGTAATCAGCACCAGTTGCTAAAATATTCCTAAATTGTAGTCACTTCTTATAGAAACATCAGTAAGTGGAGAGACTTGGGTACCTTTTTTAGGTTCTTTGGTGAAGTGTGAATGCTAATGAAACGCCTATGGCCTCAGCTATTCTCATCTGTTGTCATTTTCTCTCCCCAGGAAAACTGACCACAAACTTAAATTTGTACATTTTGGAGAGTGTTGAGTCTATCTTATGATTCCAATTCACAAAAGACACATTTTTTTATCCCGTATAATCTATGCCACATTGCCTCATCTTGTCACCATGATGTCTTGACTTCTTCGTAGAATAAAGTAGACCTAAGTGAAATAAATATATGTCTGACTGTTTTTGTTTAAGAGTTGAGTCTTCTAGATTTGTGTGATGTCTAATAGAACATCTTAAGGCCTCATCCTCGGAGGAAAGGGACCAATTAAGACCACTAGTGGGAACCAGGAACTCAAAGGTCCTGAAACTCATGCCTCCTTCTCTCTCAGGCTAGGAAAACACCCCTGTGCAATACTTAGTCCTGAAAAGTGAAAATATAAAGAGGGTGTTCAGTTAATGCTTTATAAATTAACTAAATTAAATTAAAATGAATTAAATTTGACTTCTATCAACAAGTAAGCATGGAAACTATGGTGTTTTACCCCAGATAACCCCCCAGTCAGAGGTCAACTCCTGATCTGGCTCAGGCATTAGACTGTACAGCATTCTAATGTAGAGCACTCTGTTTGCATTCTGTGACAACCCGAACTCCGAACTGTTGCCTCAAGTTCCCATAAAAAGAATCCACAGACACACAAATAAGAGAGAGCAATGAATGCCTTTCTAGAGATTGTGGAGAGTGACCTAGATGGCAGTTACCTTGCACACCCACAGTCTAAAACCCCTCATTATAGTCCTGTCCTCTACAGTCATCTCTTGCAAATCTTTGTCATTTGTAACATGAGAATAAAATTTCCATAAAATTTTAAAGATGCATAAATAAAATAAAAACAATTAAATACGTTGCCAAAACCTGTTGCTAGAAGTGAAGCCTACTCAAATTATAGGAAATCTCACTCTGTTTCATTTTTAATTGGTTCTGCCTCATATTTAAGCAAAGCAGGCCTTACTACATTCAGTAAACTGGTCCTTCTGGAACAGGTAACTCATGTCTCTCTCAGAAATCAAAGTCAAGCTGAAGGATTGACTCTGGAATTTTAATTAACCATAATAAGAGTTCAGACCAAGGAAATGGAAGCCAGATCTCTAAATGTACATGCCGTAACCAAACATCCGCATGCACACATCCTGAAAACTGTTCAGAGTTTCTTAAGGAAGGCTGAGTCAATATAAAATTAAGTTTTTTAAGAGTGCCAGCTTAAACATTGGAAAATAACTACTGGAGTTCCCAAAGATGCTTCTGGAGAGTTCAGGAAACTATCCAATCATTCCCAGTTGCCAGAGTCCTACTCTCTTGTTTCCTGGGACGTGAAGCATTTAATGCTCAAAAATAGGCTCCCAGGTTAAAACAACTAAGGACAGTGCCAGCCAAGCCCTGCGTGACTCACCAAAGAGTAAGCCAGGCTTTCGGGTTTCATTCTCCTTGCGCCCAGTTCCTGAATCTCATTACGCATGCGTGAGACCCCGATTCTGACCACAGTGGATTCTGAGGCCTATACCCGTGTAATCTACCCAGCAGCCCGACCGTCTGGTTCTTTGCATTTCTAGGTGTGCCCCTTGCTTTTTTCCTCCTCTCCACTTTACCTCTAGAAATAGAGTCCAGAGGCAGATGTCCAAAAGTGTTAGCTGACTTCTGTTGTGGTGCTCACCTCCCTGGTCACCCTAGCTCTGTTTTGGCAACCTGTCTGGGCTCTAGTTATTTCTTGTTTATCTATGAGGCCCATAGACTGCCTAAACTACCATCTGTTTCCTGCCACACTCTTTAGATATTAACAGCCTCCCTATCAGACTGAAGTTATTTGTGAAGCTTATAGAATATAATGGTTTAAGATAGTGATCGTTTCGCAATAAATACAAATATGGAATCATTGTGTTGTACGTATGAAACTAATATAATGTTACATGCCAATTATATCTCAATTTTTTTATTTTTCTATTTTTCATTTTTATTTTGCTGAGGAAGATTCGCCCTGAGCTAACATTTGTGCCAATTTTCCTCTATTTTGTATGTGGGTCGCCAGTACAGCATGGCTATGGACGAGTGGTATAGGTCTGCCCCTGGGAACTGAACCTCAGGCCATCAAAGCAGAGCAAGCTGAAATTAACCACTAGGCCATGAGGCTGGCCCCTCAATTTTTTTAAATGCAGGAAAAAAAAAAAAAAAACCTAAGGAAATTAAAGAAAAAAAAATAGGAGACTTTGGAGATAGAGAGCCCTGAGGTCAAATCTAGATTTGCCACCTCTGAGTAACCTTGAGTTAATGGTTTAACCTCTGAGTTCAGTTCCCGAATTTCAAAATGGGGCAACAGCAATTCCTAACAGACTGGCATTAGCCAATGTACATACAGTATATAATATTGTGCTTGGCACATAGTTAGCAAACAATAAATGAATGATTTCACAACAAAAATCTGTGGTTGTCCTAAGTTTGTCTCCTAAGCACAATGGGTGGTTCTATTTTAGGTTCTGGCCCCTCACTGCCTTCTCCCCAACCCCACCCTGTGATCCCTGCCTGACCCCTGCCTAACCCAGTTCTGAGAGACAGCACTATGAACCTCTGTTCATAGTGAACCTCAGTTCATTTGCTCTGTTAGAGCAAATCATTGCTGTTACAGCCACAGAAGTCAGCAAAGTAGTTGAGTGCAATGAAAGGAAAATACACAACCTCCCATCAAGGACTTTGGAAAGATTTTTTTTAGGTTATCCTCAATTTTGGTAAAAAAAAAAAAAAGAGAGAGAAAAAATATCTTCTGGTTTTGAGTACCCTGAGAGCAGCGGATTGGATCCTGTTCATCTTTGTGTCTAAAAGGGATATTTGTTTATTTGTTTCTCCACTGCCTGACATATAGTAGGCAGTACCTGCCATTTATATGTAATTTTTAAACTGTCAGGATAAAAACCATCAAAACAGACTTAGGTTGAACGTATTGAAAGCCGTGTATTCAACACCCTAAGGGCATTAAGAGTCCCACACTAAATTCTGCGTTGCCTGGAAATAACAAAAGGGACCAGTATTATTTAGCAAATGGCAGAGAATGGGAGAACCACCGTAATTCCTCCACAGATGGAGAAGTGTTTCTAGGGTCTGTGGTTGCATAAGTGTCTTTGCTGGAGGAGAGGGAGATGGGTAGAATTAGATGGGAGCTGGCAGCCTGAATAGCAGTAAAGAACAGGAGTTAGGAAAGGGTAATAAAAAAGGTTTCAAAGGTACAGCTTGTGCTATTTCTTAAACTGCATGAGAGACATATGATCATTCGTGGTGGTGTTGTCATTATTTAAACTTTATATATGTGTATGCAGCTTCCTCTCGGACCCTTGGAGAGAGAAGGCACTTGCTCCTTCCTGAGGCAGTCATTAAGGGGGAACTCTTACTATCCAAATTTCTTAGTTTTATCAAGCTTAGCTTTACCCCATATTATTTACCCCCTCATTTGTCCTAAATATAGTCCTGGGAGCCACAGAGAACAAGTCTAATTAAGAACTCTTTCGGTGTTTTTAAGGTAGTTCTTGTGTACCTCCTGAGTTTACTAATATTAGTTGAAGAAAACCTTGGACCAGGTCCTATAATAAATGCTTTACATCAGGATCTCATTTAATTCACAAAACAATTCTAATAATAAATTTGTAGAAATATAAATGAGGGTGTTTATAATATTCACCATGGTAAACAGCACTTAATTTAATTCTGGAGCATGATAGAAGCTCAAAAAAAAAAAAAAAAAGAGTAGTAAGTTAATGAATGAATCTACTTTTTTCTCACTTAAGCAAAATAAAGTTTAGTGATGACACATATGCTGTCCAAAATGAAAAGGAAATGGCAGAGTTATGATTGACAAGAGCTCTGTTTGACTCTAGCACTCAAGCTCTTAAACATTGCTATACCGTGTGTCTGAGGCAACATCATATTCCCAATCCCCAGAGCAGCTCAACTAGATACTGGCTGTCTTTATTCATTTACGGGGAGATAATGTGAGTTCTCTGTCACACAGACTTTTCAGGCCATGCACTATGTCCACTGGTGTTATAGAGAATGCCTTCTAGCTCATGAACTCAAAAGGCAAGAGGAGTTGCCAGTGGTCTTGTCACAGAGCCACGGAATGGCTCTCTGAAATTGTTGTTTTACATAGTCAAGAGTCCTTGTACTATTTAGCAAACACCGTAAATGAAGAATGTTTTGTTGAAATCTTGATTCAAGATAAGTAAGTTACTTCCTAACATTTGGCACAGAGAGAAGTGCAAATGCTGCCCTTCCTTTGGACAATGGCAGTGCAGTTGATGATATCACCAGCCAAGACTGTCCCTTTACACTGAAGGCAGTGGAGGTCTCTAGCTCTTGATCCGTCAAACTGTACTTGGCTTCTTAGGGTTAACCCTGTTTGGCGACAAAACATTCATGGCCAAAACATCAGGGTCAGTGCAGCTTCTGCACCATTGGATTCTTAAGATACCCACATGAGGGGCTGGCCTGGTGGTGCAGTGGTTAAGTTTGGCACATTCCGCTTCGGTGGCCCAGGGTTCGCAGGTTTGGATCCTGGGTGTGGACCTACGCCATTCATCAAGCCATGTTGTGGCAGCATCCCACATACAAAATAGAGGAAGATGGGCACAAGATGTTAGTTCAGGGCCACTCTTTCTCAAGCAAAAAGAGGAAGATTGGCAACAGGTGTCAGCTCAGGGCCAATGTTACTTACCATAAAAAAAAAAAAGATACCCACATGGACCCTCATTCCTGTGCTTGAGGACACCAGTGATCTTCCCCTTAGGAAACTTTAATAAGCAGCTTCCCACAGAGACTAGGGGTATTCCCAGTAGATATTCAGCTAGCTCTCTCACTAGCTCCACCTGCACCACAAAATTGGGGGCTTTTAAGAAAGCCATTCTCTGTAGAGCATGGATCACTGGTTAAGACTTGTCAGTCAAGATCAGTGAATGGATTCCTCTGCTTTGTGTGTAGTCTGGAACCAGAGCTGGCAGGCTTCCAGTTGATGAGGACTCTGAGTAAAGGGCCAAGACAGTTGGTGCTGATAGCCATACTGATCACTGCATCAGCCTCAGATGAAAATGATGCTATTGCAGAAAGTGAGTACTGAACCCAGGAACCTGTCTTGAAGACTTGTTTCAGACATTTACTAGTTCTGGTATCTTAGGCAAGTTATTAACTT